CGAGGAAGTTTGTTGTCGTTGTCGCTTGGTCAAAATTTTGCTTTAGTTGTAAACAATAGAACGAGCCTTTTTTATTGTGTAAAACACCGACGTTTGCGAAGCAGCTACGGCTCTATTTTTCAATAATGATATCAAAGAATCGATAATACTGGTTTTACAAGAATATAGGACTCTTTAGACTGAAAAATCTTCACTATTTTAAGTTTTATGTACGATATATTTGTACTATTTTATTGTTTGTTTACCTTTCACTTTGCGTACGAAATACATGAAAGTTTTGCAGGTCATATTTTCCTTTTTAATGAACATCTGCGCTCAAAAAGGGTTCTAAATTAAAGCCTGGATGCTCGAAAATAGTACTGTAAACTAATTTCTTACAGAATGAAGACATATACCTACTTTCTTTGCTTAAAAAGACATCGTAGTCGCGATTACGAATTTTTTACAAAACATCGTACTCAGATTGATGACGGCTACGTGTTTTTGTTGTCGCAACAATGTTTTCGCGCCAAAATGACGTAAATCGTACTCGTAGTCGTACTCGTAGGCTCTGCTAAAACTCCCTTTTAATGTCTGTAAAACGTACAGTGGTAAGTAAAGTTTTTTAATGATTTATAATATAGATTTTGAACAAAATTATCTGGCGAGTGCATTTTATTTTATATTTGGTCATAAATGAAACAGTAATTTTGAACATTTTATGAATTATGCTATAGAATGTTGTCATTGTTATTGAGGTTTAGTTGAGAAGGACCTAAAAGGCAACACATTTCTTTTTTTTATTCATTTTATTTTAAATTTTAATTTATCAATGCTGCATTCGTTTATGTGTTAAATGAGACAACACGTCTTTGAATATAATGGTAGAAAAATATTTAAACAAAAGCAACAACCTCAGTTTGGATTTAATCAAATTAATGCCCAATACAATTATATTTTTTAAAACTTTGATATACTTTGAGACTTATTATAAAGTAACCAGTCACACAACATCTCTTACTAATCTTGCATTCTGAAATATCTGTTGGAACATGGTATTTTTTGCTTCTTTACAAAACACTGTATGTGTTGGTTTTATAAATTGTTATATGTATGTATGTATGATCTCAAAAGCACCAGATTAATTATGGATTGAAAATAAACAACAAAATTTTTTATTATAAACATGTTTCGACTTTCCAGTCTACTGAAGTTGACTTAATATAAGTTGATGTTTTTAATAAAAAAGTTGTCGTTTATTTTAAATGCCTAATTGTTATATGTATTGGGTTTTTAATTCACCCGACCATTTAATACAGTTTTGAATAATGAAAAATCAAATTTGAATCTTGGAAAAGGTGACCATGTCTACTTAATATAGGTGGACTGTTCAGTAAAGGTCACTTAAACAGTATTTATATTTTGAATTTTTGTGACATTACCCACACAATTGCCAAAAATAACCACTGTATGAAAAAAATGTATGCTCCAAACAGGTGTTTTCAAACAAGTTTCTTTCTTACATAATTCATTCATATTTAAATTGTTATACATCAAGATTGTTCAGTTGTAGGGAAAAATGTTTCAGTTCCTAAGTCCTTGACATAAAACAACAATATTACAATAAACCAAGCACCCACAAAGTAAGAAAAAAAAAATTATTTATGATAATTCACTTAAGAAAGACTGGCCAACAAAAATTCCAGTGCCACATCTTCCTCTATGGTTTGTCAAAACTACACATTATTATTCCCAATTGCTAATTATTGCTCTAACTAGTAAATGAAATGAATACAATATTTGTCACATTATCACTGTCTTGAGAAATTACATTTTTATTGTCTTTCACATGTATAAATATTGTGCTTTAGCACATGTTTCTCTTTGCTGGAAACTCTTTAAGAAGAAATTTCTTTAGTCAAGAATTTTAAAATGAAACGAATGAACTTAAGACTGCTGAATATAATGGCAAAGACAGTGAATATTCTGAAGATGGTATATAAAAATAACAAATTTGTAAGAAATTTATAATGTACAAACTGACAAGTGGCGAACGTTTGACATTTTCTAAAGAAATGAGTTCTAAAAAATCAGCAAAGCCCGTTGATAGATGTCTTGAAAGCAGACTGGGATTTTTTTCTCTGTAGAACAGAGCATGTGCTCAATACTGCCAACAATTACAAGAGATACTATGTAGCTGTGTACAAGCTTAAACCGTTAGCTACTTATATATGACCAAAAGTGAGATATTAATTATCGTTCTACTTTCACGTTCTTTGCAAAGTTTTCATGTAGGTAATATTTTTCATTGTATATTTAGCACACCTATCTAAAATTCACAGACTACGTATGTAGTTCTGGGTATGTGGTTATTGAGAAAAAACATGTTTAGATCACAACTTACGTTCATTCGTATGCAATATAAATTTCTTCATGACATGGTGTATGTTGAACTTTCATCTTTGAAAAATGTTGCTTAAAAAAGAGTGTCGCTATTTGTTGGCAACTTTAAAATTTAACTATTACGAATTGGAATAAAAGTAAAATAATTATTCATATATTGATATATACTATTATTCCCATTTTAACTTAGTAAGGACTTTATTTGAAGAGGGGGACACGTTAAAGCTGAAAAGCTGACAAACCTGTGGCCCTCTAACTAGATTATACAGCATTACAAAAAACTGATAAACGAGTAAATATATAAATAATTACTAAATTCTATGATAGAAATAGGAGGACATATTAAAAATATTCAGAAAGATAAAATTAATTTATAAAAAGTTAAAATTAGATAATGTGCTATTACTTAATATTGTTTCAAAGTTGTCCAAGTTTTTATATGAGCTTATAAAATGCTTTTTCACAGCTGTTTTGAATAGTTTTATACTAGGCCTTTTTTTGATATCATGAGGAAGGCTGTTCCATAACTTAACTGCGTCAACACTGAATGCCTTGCCACCATCGTTATTTCTTAGGTCTTATTTCTAAATTTGGGACACACTAAATTTAAATTGCCATGTCTGGTAGACCTATTGTGTGCAGAACTGCTCGTCTTGAGCAAGTCTCAGATGTAGATCGGAACATCGCATTTAAGGCTCTTAAAAATCATTGTACACTTATTTAGTTTGATTTCATCAAAAAAAGGCAACCAGCCTAGTTTACTAAAGTTTACAACACTTCTAGATTAAGGTTCCACTCCAAGAATTACTTGGGCAGCCCTTTTCTGTAACCTTAAGAGACAGTGGAGTTCTTTAACGTCGCAAGTATTCCAAACCATGCTCCCATACATAAGGACGGGTTTAATCAAGGCGTTATAGTATAAGAGTCCTTCTTTTATTGGAAGGCATCTCTTTATCTTTTTCAATAAACCAATAAATGTGGTCACTAAATGTAAGATCTTGATCGAGTGTTACACCAAGCAATTTATAAGAGGTAACTTGTTGTATTTCGGCCCCATCAAGGGTCACTGACAGATGATTTCCATCAACTAATGATGAATGTAGCCTCTTTCCGGTGATAAGGAATGCTTTGGTTTTAATGGCGTTTAGGACAATCCCATTTTCGCTAGACCATTTACTTAATTTATCCATGTATTCTTGAAGACGTCGTTCCAATTCCAAAGGTGGATTATCGATCTTAGCGCCGGCTTTAAATGTGGTGTCATCCGCCTAAACATGAATAGTTGAGTCCGATCCAACAGCTTCGGGAAGATCATTGACGAAAATTAAAAACAGTAGAGGTCCTAATATGCTACCTTGAGGAACTCCATTCGTTAGCATAAGTTGTGACGAAGTCGAGTTATTTACAGTAACACACTGTTTGCGATTTAGTAGATAGCTCTGCAATAGCTTTACAACATTATCTGGGAATCCATATGATCTTAACTTTACTAGGAGAATGTCATGATTGATCAAGTCGAATGCCTTGCTATAGTCCACAAAAACTAAGCCGCTGACATTGTTTTTATCAAGGTCAAGAAGGACTTGGTCCAGAAGAAACAACAAAGCAGTATCCATGGAGTGGTTTTTACGGAACCCTGATTGGAAGCGGTATAAAAGGGCATTTTCTGTTAAGTAGGTGTTCATTACATTAAAGATGTGTCTTTCAAAGACTTTAGAAAGAATAAGCAAAATACTAATAGGACGATAGTTTTGAATATCTTACTTGTTTACTTGATTCTTGAATAGAGGTTCAACCTTTGCCATTTTCCGTTGTGAGGGAAATGTAGAAGTTTCAATACAGTGATTTATAATTTTAGCTATGGAGCATGATATTTCAGGAGCTGCAATCCTTAGAACTCTGGGACCAAGCCCATTGATTCCCGTGGCTTTGTGTGTAGGTATACTTAGAAGATAATCGTTAACCTCACTAGGATTTATTTGCGGAATAAGATTCTCAATTTGACTGTTGGAATTGTCTGGTGGACCAGGAAGAGCATCATAATGAAGTACAGGGAGAATTAGTATAAGAATTGTTTCCCTATCGACGATGTAAGTTTTCTTTCAATGAAAAATTGTTTTTTATTTCATATTTGTAGAGTGATTTACTGTAATCCAAGAAAACAAAAGTATTTTAAAAAAACTTTCTCCATTACAGCTTAAGATAATCACTATAAAACATGGACAGATTTAATGAGGAGGGGTACATGGGGGGCACGCAAACTTTAGATTTATCTTACAAAAATAAATTGCACACCCCTGTCGGAAACATTTTAACTCCCTCAGATTTTAGCGAAACAAATCAGTAGTACAGTTGAACTGAGTTTTCTGGGCAATGTTTCAACTTTCTTTAATATCTTTGGTGGCTGCACTACCAAACCTCCCATAAAATCTACACTTTTATTGTCGTCACTTCTTTACCAATTGACTATTAAATTAGCACTTTTAATATCCAGTATTTTCTTGCGTGTAGCATTTACTGTGAAATAAAAAAATTCACAACCGAAGTCTTATGCTGTATATTGTGGAATAATTCTTGTGAAAACAAAAATTCTTTTATCAAATTGACTAATTTTCGTCAATTATTGAAAGAAATTAGGTTAACTAGCGTGAGTTTATACACATGATATTTAATCATATAGTATTTCTAGTCACGCAGAGATCATATGACATTCTTCCTGAGATCAATACTTTCATTTTCTAGTCATCGTATTCATTGGAGAAGACGCTTTACAAAAATTTCGATAAATTTGTGCAAAGCATTTTCATCAAAAGGTAAATATCATGTATTAAGTATTTGTTGTTCGAATTTCAGTGACATAAGTAAAGTACATGGGAACGAACTCCTAAATTCAAATTCCAGTTTGTCACAGATTGTAAAGATTATTTCCGTGAACATTCGCTATCTATATGTTGCTAAAAGTTTCATAAATTGTATGAATGATTGTAAGCAATGCAAAATTTCATGCGATCCCAAAGACTAGTCAATGTAAATCACCGTTAGTTACTGCTTGTGATTAAGAGGTTAACTAAAAGCAGCTTCTACAAGATCGAAATATCTTCGAGTCTTCGACAGAAGATAAAAATCATTTAATAAACATTCGCTCCTAAAAATGTTGGGACATAACACTTCTCAAATTTGAATTTATTGTTACATGTTACGTTGTACTAATCACTGCAATATTTGTTGCGTTTTTGCTTTTTTTTTTTAAATAACAATAGTTGATATATGTTATTATACAGTTGTTTTGATGTGAAATGAACAAACGCGCGCCATGCATGATGGTTTTTGGCAAATTGGCAAATTCTATTTCAAAAATCAAAAGAGTTTGTGAAAATTTATCTGTTCAAATTCAATTTTATTCTTAAGGTATCGAAAGCAGTAGACCGCATTTTATTCTATTGCTTAGAGTCATCAATCGACATATTTATTTGAGAAATGACAAAATGCTACTCTCCTTAACGGCTTTCACTTTTATTATGCACCACGTCTGCGTCCGCAAAGAATGATGGGGTTTTGTTACGACATAATGACGCATTTGCACATGTGATATTGTATAGTTCGCAATCTCTTACTTCGTCATGATCATTCTCGTTGAACAGAAATTATGCTCGTTATTGACTTTAATGCATGGCTATAAGCACGGTACTTATTACGTAGTTGCAACTCTAGATGATTTGTAGTCGATGTTTATTAAAATTAAATGATATTTTGAAGTCAAAATTGACCAATTCATCTAGTTTGACGTTTTTTTCTTTATACAGTTAATCATGTCCGCCGACGACGACGTTGATAACGTTGATGAACAAGAATTAGACAGTGTTTTATGTACTGAAGAAGGTAACATGTTTGAAATATTAAAGAATTTTTATTGAATTATCAACCTAAACTTTAGAGTCCAACAGATCGTTTCAAAGATAACCATAAGTGTTCGATTTCTTTCATATTTATAAAAACAAAGCAAGTAACGTTTGTCGTTTTGTCTCGACTCAAGACATCTTCAAATGAGATGTAATTACTTAGATAGTTAAGGTGTGAGGTTGGTGTGAATGTGTACTTACAGTGTAAAGCTGATATTGAGTATTGTAAGGAAATGTGAGAAAGATTGTACAAGATATAAGGGGGGATGAGTAGTGGAGGGAAATTTACCATCAAAAGAGCCGAGGTGGCATGCATTCTCCCTACCCAACCCAACTATTCCAAAGACCAATTTAAAAGTTTTTAAGATGTGAAGAGAAAAAAAAAAGGGAGTTATAGATAGTTGCTTCCTGTAAAAGGGCACACAGCAAAGTAAAAGTAACAAACAGAAACTTTACTGCATCGTAGTAAGTGTATGTAATTAGTCTGAGATGTCTTGAGTCAAGACGAAACGTCGCTTGCTTTTTTAAATAAATTCTTGCCTTTTTAAATATATACTTCTCAAACACGATCTTTTGGGATCTTATCTTTATATTTAGAATTCGATTCACACCTGGCACCTCACTGGCAACATTGAAATTTTATAAATTCTTATTAATTGTTGTCCACTCATATTAACAATGTATTTGACATGTTTGACGTATTTTTTAGTTACAACCGATTGTTGAAATTCATATTCCATTGGAGTCCTACAGTGGCAGTACGGCCTCACGAACGAACGATTTGTCTCTGAATCGAGACAGTAAATATCAATATGCTGTCCTGTTGAAGTGCTAGAAATGCTACGGAGGCAATGGTTACCCCAAAGGATTGGGGAAAATTGAAAAAACAACACAGTTGAGAGAACGTTGCTAAATCGATCAGCGTACAAGGTTCGCAAAAACCTTTGTTGGAAATAACTAGTTTGACTTCCAATGATTTATTTAATGTCAAATTGTCACATGTTTGTAGATGTAGATCGTCCAGGTTAGTAGAGTCATGAGAAAGACTGTTTTTGTTGTTGTTGACTGACGTTTTGACTTCCTTAGCAGTCGTCACCTTTAAAGTCAAGTTGACTTTCTCAGGACTCTACTAACCATGACGATCTACATCTAAAACATGTAACGATACGCCTGGGTACAAACCATTTACGTTAGTACAGTTAAATTTTCGTAAATCATAATCTTTGTTAGAGTAAAAAATTTGTAACCGAGAAACTATTTTAAAATAGCTTGCACCAAAAATGACACCAATAGATTGCAATTGAAACGCATAAGGTTGAAATATGGCATATGTTGTTCAAACTAATAAAGTTTCAGTAAATTTGGACGATTCTTACGCGAACGTTCATTTTCCGAATCGTAGATTAATTTGTGTTTTTCCCTTTATATGACATTTTACATAAATCATCATCAATTTTTCTGTTTATAATGATTCAGATTTTTTGGAAACTGAAATTTATACATAATTGAAGAGAGCTATAAAAAGGTATTCAAAAACGAAAACAAAATGATCTGTGATTTGGAAGCTAATTGTTTGTGTACGCTTTTGCCAAACTTTCTAAAACTTCATTTGCTTGAACAAAATGTGACCTATTTTAATCCTATGTGTTTCAATTGCTTTTAGCTTTGTCATTTTTGTGCGTGAACTACTTCAAAAGCACTTCTCTGTAACACATTCCTCCCTCTAAAAAGGTTATTATTAGAAACAATTTTACTTAACTATCAGATGAACCATTGGAAGTCCAACTGCCTATTTCCACTTAAAATTTTTGCAAGTATTGCGCTTTGATCAATTTAGCAAAGTTTTTCGTCACTGACTATGTTTTTGATACCCCCACACATGCATCTCACAGTCACGGCCACCTGGTAATCGTTGATTGGTGGGGGAGGTGTGTTCTTCATTTATTCAGCTGTGCATGACTGATTTTTTTGAAAGCGAGTTGTTTCATTTCTTAAAGTGCCTATGAAACGAAAATTTTGCTATCTGAGTAATACTTTATTGAAGAGATATTTTAAAATGACAATGGACATTCTAAACCAGTTTATGCATATCACTTATATTTCTTGAGATATTGAGGTTCTTGCTATGTCCAATATATCTAACTTGTGACGTCACATTGCATAATGAGAACTAAAATTATTAGGTATATTTACAGATACTTTACTTCACAGCGACAGAGTTTGTTTCATTGTGACGGGATTAATGTTGCTTACTAGTATCAACCTGAAGTTGTCAGGAAACTGAAGAGTATTTGAAACATTGTGGGAGCTCGTTATGCAATATGACGTCACAAGTTAAATAAGTTGGAAATAACAAAACGTCAAAATCACGAAAATATGCATTTACTGTTTTAGAAAGTACACTGTAATTTCAAAGGTTCTAGTCATTGCAAACATAATTTAACTTGCAAAACTTTTGTTGCCTTGGCACTTTCAATAAATTGCTTTCAAAAGAAATTAGTTGTGCACAACTAAATATGTGAATAAGAGCCCTCCATTAACTTTCTGGGGACAGCCCTACTCACAGTTCACATGGCCTGCCCTAAAGTGATCCATTTGACAAATCTGGTTGTGCTTTTGATTCTGTCATTTTTCTTTAAGCTTGTTTACGATATATTCCACTATGACTTTCACGAGCCAATAGATTGGCTTTCTCTCACTACATATCGTTCTCGACTACATTTTCAAACAAGTAAAAAACCTTTTTAATAATTTCTATAATTTCTGACAGAGGAATCAAATCAAGTTGATGATACCAATTCACTCCAGGAAACAAATCAAGTTGATGATGCCAATTTACTCCAGGAAACAAATCATATTTATGGTGCCAATTTACTCCATGAAACAAATCATATTGATGATGCCAATTTACTCCATGAAACAAATCATATTGATGATGCCAATTTACTCCACGAAACAAATCATATTGATGATGCCAATTTACTCCATGAAACAAATCATATTGATAATGCCAATTTACTCCAGGAAACAAATCCTATTGATGATGCCAATTTACTCCAGGAAACAAATGGACTTGAATTAATGGACCTTGAGGTCAGCAGTCTCTTTGAGGACAGCAGGCAGAATATGGACTGTCATGTTGATTTTATGTCGGTTCCTCCAGAACTTTGATGACTGTAATTTGTTATGGCATGTCAAAAAACAATTTGTCTTTTTACAACCATTGAAATTGTTACAATGATCATAAATATTACATCCATATGCAATTGTTTAGCAAACTCAATAATTGAGGGAGAACTTATTCATACATGCATGTTCTGCAGGATTAAATTCTTTTTGAAATCCATTGTTTTCGATAGATTAATACATGCATTAATAAATTTGAACCTCCCCTTCCCCATCAACGAGTTTGCTACGCTCCTGTTATGGAATAGACAGAGTAAATTAGGACATAAATAGAAAATTTTTATCATTATTCCATGGTAAAATGTAGACTTACTCAAGTAAGTTAATTAAGGTTCAAATATCGTCACGTCCAATATAATGCCAATGTCATTAATAGGAAAGTACATACAGGTTAGAGATATTATGGGGAAAAAGAACTTGATGTTTTTTTATCCAATAATTTCTAGTCAAATAAGGAGAGGCACCCTATCTGTTGTAACCAAATAAGTTTTTTGTTGTCAATAAGTTATTGGAATTGTCAAGGTTAGCCGAGAAGTTCATTAAGTATTCAAAAAGTAACAAATTCAATAACCATTGGGAATAATCAAGCATAGTAACTGTACATTAACTTTATTCGTAAGTATGCTTAACTTTTGGTCAATGGGCAAGGTTTAAATTGGTTATATTCAACGAAATTTTTTGTCCCTCTTTTTGTTTCTAAGCACAGTAGATCGGGGATTCATCGTATATGTTAATCACTTTCTGCTTCTCCTAGCCTTGATAACTTTCTTATGTAATCAACACCTTGGTCCTTTGGGCTTTTAATTCATGGAAAAAGTGTTTTTAAAAAAAAATTTTCTAAGATGTTGCTATTTCATACAGCAAGTAACATAATGACTTTAAAAAAGTTATTAATAAAATGGCCATTTTCAGCCGTCTAGAGATCTGAATTTTCAAAGTTTTCTCATGATTTTGCCTCCTCTGCTCATTTGCTCATCTAATCATCTAGAGCATATATTTCTTGAACTAAGAATTCCCTTTGGAAAAGGAAAATATCATGTATCACAACTTCGTAGAGCATTGTAAACCTTCGTAAGTGAGGGCCTGACGGGATGTTAAAGTAAAATAACACGTGACATCATCATTGAGATGCGTGGGCGATTAATGTGTGGTATAAATATGTCAATATAGCGTCGGCCTTGGGGACTTTATCTTTTTTTCTCCTCGCTTTGGCTTTGCCAATAGGCCAGTATCTTTAAACTTTGTACCAGAAATAATTTTTTTCTAGTAAGGAGAACTTGCTGTTCTATTATTTTCTTCTCACATTCTAAGTAGCCTTACTTCATTGTCGTGATTTACATTAAGATCTGACGACGCATTTCACCAAAGTATTTGTATAATATAAAATAAATTTTTTACGTACGTCGTCATGGTTACAGCATGCGCCATGTGTTTCGACTTTGGAAGCCAACAACAATATTTTTGAATTTTGATTTGAATGCTAAAATTTTAAGTCGTTCGAAAATAATTTACTAAATTGGTGAGTGAACTATTGCCGTAAATTCGAAGCTTAAATTAAAACTGTAGGAGGTTGGGCCTGTTTTATACGTCACATTTTACATGAGCCAAATACATTTAAAAGATAATGAGGAATTTTATCTCATGTTCTTTTTCTCTAATGCATTCGGCGTATGTAAAATGCGACGTATGAACAGGCCTTGATATCTCATAATTCAGCTGACAGCACGCTAAAGCGCGAAAGTTTTTTTTAAACCTTGTAAAACCATGTCTTGTGGTCTTGACTCTTGAGGAAAAGTTTACTTCTTTAGACCCAGGTGAAAGTACGTAACACAACATGGTCTTGACTCTTGAGGAAAGTTTACTTCTTTAGACCCAGGTGAAAGTACGTAACACAACATGGTCTTGACTCTTGAGGAAAGTTTACTTTTAGACCCAGGTGAAAGTACGTAACACAACATGCTCTTGACTCTTGAGTAAAGTTTACTTCTTTAGACCCAGGTGAAAGAACGTAACACAACATAGTCTTGACTCTTGAGGAAAAATTACTTCTTTAGACCCAGGTGAAAGTACGTAACACAACATGGTCTTGACTCTTGAGGAAAAGTTTACTTCTTTAGACCCAGGTGAAAGTACGTAACACAACATGGTCTTGACTCTTGAGGAAAGTTTACTTTAGACCCAGGTGAAAGTACGTAACACAACATGGTCTTGACTCTTGAGGAAAGTTTACTTCTTTAGACCCAGGTGAAAGTACGTAACACAACATGGTCTTGACTCTTGAGGAAAGTTTACTTCTTTAGACCAAGGTGAAAGTACGTAACACAACATGGTCTTGACTCTTGAGGAAAAGTTTACTTCTTTAGACCCAGGTGAAAGTACGTAACACAACATGGTCTTGACTCTTGAGGAAAGTTTACTTCTTTAGACCCAGGTGAAAGTACGTAACACAACATGGTCTTGACTCTTGAGGAAAGTTTACTTCTTTAGACCCATGTAAAGTACGTAACACAACATGGTCTTGACTCTTGAGGAAAGTTTACTTCTTTAGACCCAGGTGAAAGTACGTAACACAACATGGTCTTGACTCTTGAGGAAAGTTTACTTCTTTAGACCCAGGTGAAAGTACGTAACTAAACATGGTCTTGACTCTTGAGGAAAAGTTTACTTCTTTAGACCCAGGTGAAAGTACGTAACACAACATGGTCTTGACTCTCGAGGAAAGTTTACTTCTTTAGACCCAGGTGAAAGTACGTAACACAACATGGTCTTGACTCTCGAGGAAAGTTTACTCTTTAGACCCAGGTGAAAGTACGTAACACAACATGGTCTTGACTCTTGAGGAAAAGTTTACTTCTTTAGACCCAGGTGAAAGTAACGTAACACAACATGGTCTTGACTCGAGGAAAAGTTTACTTCTTTAGACCCAGGTGAAAGTACGTAACACAACATGGTCTTGACTCTTGAGGAAAAGTTTACTTCCTTAGACCCAGGTGAAAGTACATAACACAACATGGTCTTGACTCTCGAGGAAAGTTTACTTCTTTAGACCAAGGTGAAAGTACGTAACACAACATGGTCTTGACTCTGGAGGAAAGTTTACTTCTTTAGACCCAGGTGAAAGTACGTAACACAACATGGTCTTGACTCTTGACGAAAAGTTTACTTCTTTAGACCCAGGTGAAAGTAACACAACATGGTCTTGACTCTTGAGGAAAGTTTACTTCTTTAGACCAAGGTGAAAGTACGTAACACAACATGGTCTTGACTCTCGAGGAAAAGTTTACTTCTTTAGACCCAGGTGAAAGTACGTAACACAACATGGTCTTGACTCTTGACGAAAAGTTTACTTCTTTAGACCCAAGTGAAAGTACGTAACACAACATGGTCTTGACTCTTGAGGAAAGTTTACTTCTTTAGACCAAGGTGAAAGTACGTAACACAACATGGTCTTGACTCTCGAGGAAAGTTTACTTTAGACCCAGGTGAAAGTACGTAACACAACATGGTCTTGACTCTTGACGAAAAGTTTACTTCTTTAGACCCAGGTGAAAGTACGTAACCTAACATGGTCTTGACTCTTGAGAAAAGTTTACTTTTTAGACCAAGGTGAAAGTACGTAACACAACATGGTCTTGACTCGAGGAAAGTTTACTTTAGACCCAGGTGAAAGTACGTAACACAACATGGTCTTGACTCTTGACGAAAAGTTTACTTTAGACCCAAGTGAAAGTACGTAACACAACATGGTCTTGACTCTTGAGGAAAAGTTTACTTCTTTAGACCCAGGTGAAAGTACGTTACACATAATGGTCTTGACTCTCGAGGAAAGTTTACTTTTAGACCCAGGTGAAAGTACGTAACACAACATGGTCTTGACTCTTGACGAAAAGTTTACTCTTTAGACCCAGGTGAAAGTACGTAACACAACATGGTCTTGACTCTTGAGGAAAAGTTTACTTCTTTAGACCCAGGTGAAAGTAGTACGTAACACAACATGCTCTTGACCTTGAGGAAAGTTTACTTCTTTAGACCCAGGTGAAAGTACGTAACACAACATGGTCTTGACTCTTGAGGAAAAGTTTACTTCTTAGACCCAGGTGAAAGTACGTAACACAACATGGTCTTCACTCTTGAGGAAAAGTTTACTTCTTTAGACCCAGGTGAAAGTACGTAACACAACATTGTCTTGACTCTCGAGGAAAGTTTACTTCTTTAGACGCAGGTGAAAGTACGTAACACAACATGGTCTTGACTCTTGAGGAAAGTTTACTTCTTTAGACCCAGGTGAAAGTACGTTACACATAATGGTCTTGACTCTCGAGGAAAGTTTACTTCTTTAGACCCAGGTGAAAGTACGTAACTAAACATGGTCTTGACTCTTGAGGAAAGTTTACTTCTTTAGACCCAGGTGAAAGTACGTAACACAACATGGTCTTGACTCTTGAGGAAAAGCTACTTTAGACCCAGGTGAAAGTACGTAACACAACATGGTCTTGACTCTTGAGGAAAGTTTACTCTTTGGACCCAGGTGAAAGTACGTAAAAACACATAATGGTCTTGACTCTCGAGGAAAGTTTACTTCTTTAGACCCAGGTGAAAGTACGTAACACAACATGGTCTTGAGTCTTGAGGAAAGTTTACTTCTTTAGACCCAGGTGAAAGTAATGTAACACAACATGGTCTTGACTCTTGAGGAAAAGTTTACTTCTTTAGACCCAGGTGAAAGTACGTAACACAACATGGTCTTGACTCTCGAGGAAAGTTTACTTTTTTACACAGGTGAAAGTACGTAACACAACATGGTCTTGACTCTTGAGGAAAAGTTTACTTCTTTAGACCCAGGTGAAAGTACGTAACACAACATGGTCTTGACTCTTGAGGAAAGTTTACTTCTTTAGACCCAAGTGAAAGTACGTAACACATAATGGTCTTGACTCTCGAGGAAAGTTTACTTTTAGACCCAGGTGAAAGTACGTAACATAACATGGTCTTGACTCTTGAGGAAAGTTTACTTCTTTAGACCCAGGTGAAAGTACGTAACACAACATGGTCTTGACTCTCGAGGAAAGTTTACTTCTTTAGACCCAGGTGAAAGTA